AGAAAGAAGAAAATTGCAATTGAAGCAAATTATTCTATAAATTCAACATGACAGTTACAACTTACAACAGTTTCACGCCCCTAGCTTAAAGCGCATCAGAGAAAAATCCATGGAGTTTCGGCCTGCAAATCACCGACCAAGCCTTATTGATGCGCTTGAAACATACCATATACACCTGGGGTCTAACTGGTTTTGAACATAAATAAAACCAAAGCCATGATCCATAATCTGCAAAAAGAGCACGGGATGGAAGAAGGAAGCAGAAAGAAATTCACGAAATGAGAGCTGCCAAGCAACTAGAAAAATGTATGATGCATTTGCTTTCGATAAGGGCCCTTGCTTTCATCAGATCTGCGAGCAGTCCGTGCCATTCTGCTCCCTGCATTGGGACCCTGACAACAATCTGAACTTTTGGACAATTTCCTGGGACAAGAACTGTATCCTACTCCTACCTGATCCAACATTTGCGTATTGTTCTTATACAAGGTTTCCTTCTCTGGAGAATCATAGCCAGTTTCTTCAAATTCCTACAAGATGTCATTTAAAATCATTTTGGCGTGGAAAAGGTATAGGGATCAATGTCCTCTAGGACAGTAACTACAAATTTTAAGGAAGATGATCTGCCTACCTTTGATTTTGTCTTGGCACAATAAGGCGTTAAACAAGGATTCAAGTCCTTCAGCAGCATGTCATCCGGACTATCAGGAGTTGTTGGATCGCCTGAACTGAATTCCTGGAACATTGTTTCAACAGACTATTTTCAAAATGGTTTAGGGACCATTGCCTAAAAAACTTTTTGTTGGGGTTGGAAGTAGACAGCTTCAACCCAACCCTAGTGACTGTACTTTACACTGGCCGCTAATGTCAGTTAAAACCCCAAATTCTAATATGCTGTTCTTACCAAGGAATTAGGAGTGTTCTCGTTGTCGTATGATGGTGTCCTTGGAGAGCTACCAATATGATGCTGAAAACATGCCCTTGCTGTATGGTTATCTGCCTTCACCTGTCCAAGAATTTCGACAATAGGAAGGAATCCATTATGGTTCATCAATTTAGCATCCAAAGCATAACTTAGTCTTCCATGTACATGATTTATCTCTGAATTTCCACTTGGTCACTAACAACTTTGTTCAAAATCACATTCTTCCTCTGCCTAACTTCGATACATAAGCTAAGCTTGCAGAGGAATGCAGTTTCAGGAACTATAAGAAATTAATCTCTTGAAGATAAATATAAACACACATGGAAGCACGGAAACTGTGATTTGAGCAATTCAGTTACCTCGGCAAGATCTACCGCAAGGCATTGGAGCTGGCCTGTGAGAGAAGTGACCTGCCTTTGGAGACTTGGGATTAACTGTTTAGCTTGCCTTAACTCTGAACCCTGCTTCTCTAGAAGCTCATGAAGTTGGGAATTCATCACATCTGGGAACAGTATTGCACTCTTCAATCCCTTAATTTCTTCCCTCTGCTTCAAGCACAAATCTTTCAACTTCTCTACCTGCACATTCCATCAAAATCAAAACCATTCTTCCTTAATTGCAACCACTAAACTTCCAAATTCCCCTTTTTCCCTGATTGCATGATCTAATTTCATCGGAACGTAAGAAACATGGGGAATTTTAGACACCAACGAGTCAAGAAAACTACTTACTTCTCTGTTCTTCTCTTCAAGCAACAACTTGAGCTCAGCAATTTCCATTTCCTGATCTTTATTAGCACTCAGAAGCTCCCTCTCACTCCTCAACACCATTGCCAGAGTCCTTGTATTTCCCTTCACCTCTGTCAACGCCTTCACCTCCTTCTGCTTCTCAGCCGACCCCTTCCCGAACAGCTTCTTCTGCAACGCAGTCAAACCCACCCCTTTCCTCGCCGTCTTCTTCAGATCCTCCGCAATCACATCGCAGGGAATCACCAGCTCCACCTTCTTACTCGCCGACTTCTTGTCCACAAATCTCTTCACCATGGCAGCCAAGTTGTGGTCCACCTTCGGCTTGGCCTTGCTGCCTTGGGACACATCCAGTGGCTTCGATTTCACGATTGCCCGAGACGTAGAAGAGGACTTGTACTTGAGGGAAGAGCTGTTGAGCTCCACTGATGATGATGGGTCGGAGAAATGAGAAGAAGTGGAGGAGCGAGTGTCGTAGGACATGTACCGAGCCGCCATTTCTGCTTAAAGCAACAAGATTTGATTCTTTTTCTGGTTCTGGAGATGGAAAGGCCAAGACTTTAGGCTGTATTTAGGTGATTTAAAGTAGGGGTTTTGGATGAAAATCAAAAGAAGACGAAGATTGAAGTTTTGTGTGAGGGATTTGAAAAAGGGGGAGCCTTTGTGGAGCAGAGAGAGAGAGAGAGGGTGACGTGGGAATGGCTGGCGCTGTCCGAATTCAAATTGTAATTTGGCGTGAAAGGCGCGGTGACACATGAATATTTTCAGGGGACAGAAAAAGCAATTCTGATTGCCTGCCTAAAAAGAAACGACGTCGCTCCTCTCAATTCTTTTCTTTCTTAATTCTTTTATAGGTTTATCTAACTTGCTCACATGATAAATTTTGTTACTTACAAAATTTGTAAATAATTTTATATAAATTTTTATATCAGATTTATATTATTTTATAGATTTTGAGTATAAATATTATCTTTTATTTTTATTTTTATATTTTATTTTAATTGAATATGATATAAAAATTTATGTAAAATTAATTGAATATACTACATTTAGTGAAATTTAATCCCTTTTTTTATTAATCGAATATTAAACAATAACATTTTTTTAATCTTTTCCTTTCAAGAAAAGAGGCTTCAGCTTAAATTTTTTTAAAAAATATTATACAATTCAGATTACACAATTTAAATTATTAAATAAATTGTCTCATATTTAATAAATTTTGTTTTGCATTAAACTATAAAACAAAACCTATATTATATATATATTATGTACTTAAGTTTACCGTATATGAATTATTAGATCATAAGAACCAACTTTAATTACGCAAGACTGGCCATAAAAATTGTTCTAAAGGTGGTTGAATGACATCCTTTTAGTTATGGAGTAGCAATTCCTTATGAGATTCTTTTATATGTAATAAAAAAAAGATCATTAAGGATTGCTTTTAACTGCCGTTGCCAGTACCTTACAAGTTATGGAGTGACAAGCTTTTTATGCGGGGGCACAAACAATTCACATTGCTAATTCTGATAAGGATGCATAAAAAATGGATAATAGAAGCTAGAAAGGAATAAAAATACACAATGCATTTAGTCAATCATATAATAAGTTTTTGTTTGCTTAAAAACCTCAATTTAGGATTAAATTTAGAAGTTTAAATTTTTATAATACCAAACAGTTAACGATCCAATGTATAAAAAAAATAATGTATAAAAATGGATAATAAAAGCTAGAAAGGAATAAAAATATACAATGCATTTAGTCAATTATATGATAAGTTACTGTTTGCTTAAAAACCTCAATTTAGGATTAAGTTTAGAAGTTTAAATTTTTATAATACCAAATAGTTAATGATTTAATGTATAAAAAAAAAAAAAAAAAGTAAGCTATTGTTTGCTTAAAGGTCTAAAATGGGTCTTTATTTTTAGTTCTTATCAGCTAGAGTGGGAATCAGAAAGATATAGGACATTCTTCCTTCTCACATTGGCTCCAAAAGTCTCAGACATGTCAAGATCTTCTGGTTCGATCCCATCCGGAGCTCCCTAGTAGAAGTGGTAGGGTAAATGTGCAAGAGGAAGCTCCAGATTAGCTATGCCTATCCTCCTTCCAGCTCCAAATGGAAGGTACTCCAAGTTATCCCCAACAAAATAATCAAAAGGGCTGAGAATGAACCTCTCAGGCATGAAACTCTCAGCATCTTTTCAGGATGCAGGGTCTCTCCCAATTGCCCTGGCATTGATGATCACTTTCATTTTGACAGGAATGTCGTCATATACATCAAGCATGGTATGTATGCTCCCTTCATTCTCTTGGCAGCAACATGGCAATGGGAGGGTGTAGCCTTAGAGTCTATTTGATTACCAACTTCAGGTAAGTTAGCTCTTGAATATCTGCCTCTCGGACATCTTTCTTTCCTATGAAGGCTTCTCTCATCTCAGTTTGCACTTTCTCCATCACAACATATCCCAATCTATTGTTGCTGTATCCACTCCAGCTGTAAACATATCCTGCCGTATCCATTCCAGCTGTAAACATATCCTGCATGAGTATTCAAGAAATTAACATATACACAAGAAGTTGAAGGTAGAATTAGTCTGGTTCCAGCCTTCTCAAGTTAATTTTAGGGAAGAGAGAAGAACTAATGAAAAGAACAGCTTTGACATTGTTGGCAGTAATAGGAAACTCAAATTTGCCACTGCCTTGAAGCCTCCGAAGAACATCAACAAGATCTTCTTTCATCCCTTTGCTTGTGCCTGCAACCCTATCAATCATCCTGTGAATCTTTGCTATTCTAGCTTTTGCCCCAGAAGTCACATGAAGAAATTCTAGAGCAGGAAACAAATCAGACAGATCAAAACCACCAGTTGCTGCTAGAGCTTCCCTGGCTAATGAAATGAACAAATCTTGGTCTGTGCATTTGTTGGCAAATGCTGCTTTACAAAGGACACAACTTGCCATGGTGAAAACCTTTCCAGTTAAGTAGATTGGTGATCCGCCTGAGGAGGAAACCTCATCTGGGTTCTGTTGGGATTTAGAGGCTTTAACCTGCAAGCCTTCCTCATCTGTCTCTACTATTCTCCATAAGGAGGAAAGCATTATAGTAGCTGATGACTGGAGAGGCCATAGGTTTTGGCCTGTCTGCAAAGGACAGATCAGGTGTGTGCAACACCTCCTGGGCCATTTTTGATGATGACACTACTAACAACAGAATCTTCACCTAACTGAAGGTGCATGAATGGTCCATGTTCCCTGGCTAGTTCTCCGTGGGCACGGTGTGGTAATGAACCTGCCAGCTGATCCAAGTTCCCTATAAGAGGAAGCTTTGGTGGACCTGGAGGCAGATTCTTGATTGTAATCTGGGAATCAAATCAGGGGCATCCAGCATTAGAAAGAAAGAGGAGGACTGTGAGAAAGAAAGGAAACTTAAGCTCCCATAATGATATGTAGAGAAGATAAAAGTTGGTCAAATGGCATCCTTCAAATGCAATCCTTCTATACTACTAACCCTGTCTTATGCTGCCATGGGATTTTGGAGATCAAAATAGAAAGATGCTCTTTTGATCAGGATATGAACAGAAAAATTGAGAAATATAAAATGGGAGGACCAACATTTTGGCATGAAGAATAACAAAGAAATAGAGCATTGAAAGAATATATGAGAAACATGAAAATGAATTGCACCTAAACAATTCAGACAAAAACAACATCATGTTTGGTTACATATTTCATAGTAGTCTAGCAGGGTTTCCCACTGCTGTACTTTTTGGAGGAACCTCCTTCAAAACCACAGACCCTGCCCCAATTTTAGCCCCTTCTCCAATTGTAATGCTCCCCAACACTTTAGCTCCTGCACCTAAGAACACTCCATTTCCAATTTTTGGATGCCTGTCCCCGCAAACTTTCCCTGTTCCGCCCAAAGTCACATCATGCAGAATAGTTACATTGTCCCCAACCATTGCTGTTTCACCAATCACAACTCCAGTAGCATGATCAATTACAATCCCTCTTCCAATCTTCGCTCCAGGATGGATATCAACAGCGAAAACCTCAGAAACCCGACTCTGAATCAACAGAGCCATTACCTTCCTCCCTTGTAACCACAGCTTGTGCGCCAGTCTATGAGCCTGACAAGCCTGGAACCCCTTGAAATTCAGGAAGCAATGAAGATAACTAATGCAAGCAGGATCACGCTCTCTCACAGCCTTGAGGTCATCTCTTATGGCTGCCCTGATCTCACAGTCATCCGCCAGAACCTTGTTGAAGACTTCCAAGAGGACATCCGTGGAAAGATTTGAGCTGCTTAATTTCGTAGCCAGGTGATATGCTAAAGCACTCTCGAAAGTTCTATGAGACAATATCAATTCAAAATAGTAACTGAACAAGATGGGTTCCTGCTGTACATCAGATTGAGCCTCCTCTCTAATTTTCACAAAGATTTCATCTTTTTCCTCATTCTTGCATGAAACGAGATTTGAGAAAGTGGGTCTGCATAATTTGGAAAACCTGCATAAAGTGTTACTCACCAGGCTTTGGTCGATACAAGTTGCCATTGTTTTGAAAATGGGTAAATATACAAGGGCTTATGATTGGAAGTGAAGGAGGAGGAGTGAAGAGGGTTCTTTATATTGATGGAATTTCAAGAGATGATTGCTGTGTTGAACATGAAGAGAAATTACCAGGAAATGGTACCGTATTATAATACAAACAAAAGAAACAGAAAGAGGGAAACGATGACATGAATGACATCTGGGGTGACGATACTTGCTGGGTCGGTCAAAGATGACCGGAAAAAGAAATGGACTTTGAAGGAGCAGAGAAAAAGGGCGGCGCCGCCTGCCGCTGCTTTGTACTCCATCCAATTTAAAGGTTGACTTTTGCTTTCGCAATTCAATTCAGCCTGGCAAGGCCCATTAGCCCAAGCCACTATCCTCTTTCATTCTATTGGGCTTCAGCCTTCTTAGTTCAGCCCGAGATGAATTTTCTTTCTTTCCAAACAGACTTACTGGGAGAGAAAATCCCAGAAAGAAAATTCAAACTTCCAAATTTCAAAGTACACAGTATGCTAGATCTGTGTTTGGGAGGCTGTTTACTTTCACTCACTGAAAGCCCCTGTTTTTGTTAAATACAACCAGAAATCTCTCACAATCCTCCGGAAAATTCAAAAAATCTCGAAAATTTATGAGTTTCCAAAACCCTGTAATGCCCATCCTCTCACCAGGATTCCCTTTCCATGTTTGCAAATTCACCTGCCAAAGTTTCAAACTTTCCTTAGAAATCTAGTGTTTTTCCGCTGTAGATCAGAGTCTATGTATTGGTGTTCAGCAAGCGTTAAGCCAGCAAACAAACAATCTTGATTCTTCGCTTAGTCCCGAGCTCCATCAACATCTAAAGTCGAATATGGGTCGTTCACGCGGGAATTTTCAAGCTGCTGATGAGGACCCTACCCAAAGGTTTGGTTATTGGTTCCCCTCATTTTGAAGAATCATGCTATTCAAATATACTGTTCTTTCTGTCTTTAAAATCTGTGATTATCTGCGTTTTAGCTTCGATGTTGAAGGGTTTGAAATGTTTATTAATGTTTGTTTTGAATCTGACTCGAAGTGAACTCTTGGCACTGTTGGAGTTTGGAATGGTATATTTTGGTTGGGTCATTTTTTGAGAAGTTGGGCCATGTAAGAGGGAAATGCATGTCTGGGAATCTGATAATCTGATCTTAGTAAGAGAAAAACTGGGATTATGGACAATGGGGCTCTTCCTGTATGTTGTTTGTTTACACCTCTTGTGTGTTTTGATATGATGATAGAGTTGATTTTAGCATAACTAAATTTGAATATTTATTTTTGTTATGCAGATCAAGGAGAAAGAAGAATGCCTCCACTGGAGAAAATTTAGAGTCATCTTCTTTAGGTAAATTTTTGCAACAATGATACAAGTCATGTGGTCTTTAAATGCTTTAGGATTCAATTTTTATATATGCGTGTGTATGTCTGTGTGTGAAAGTTCTAATAAAGGTTTAGAAACAGATTACTACTTGTTTAGGATGCTATCTCAAAATGATGGTATTTATATAAATTACGTGATAATGCCAAAATTGTTGGCACTACCTAGACATGCCTGAAGTTGGCCATTTCACCATGTAATGTCTTCAGGAAAATTTTCTTAATTTTTTGTGCACCCTTGTGTCCGCCTTTTTTCTGTGTTTCCAGGTCAAGGTTCTGGTGAAGGGAAAAGGGCTTTATACCATTGCAATTATTGCAACAAGGACATCTCAGGAAAGATCCGAATTAAGTGTGCTATGTGTCCTGATTTTGACTTATGTGTAGAGTGCTTTTCGGTTGGAGCTGAGGTGACTCCTCATAAAAACAGTCATCACTATAGGGTTATGGTCAGTAATTCTTCAAGTAATACTTTCCCTCTGGATAATTTGCTCATTTGTAGAGTTTTAGTGGTTTACATCACCAATGATTTGAAATTGCATCCCATGCCTGGTAAAAATTTTTGCTAGCACTATGTTTATTCTCTGTACTTCTATCTTCGTAGGACAATTTATCTTTTCCACTCATGTGCCCTGACTGGAATGCAGATGATGAGATGTTGCTTCTTGAGGTACTTTTGACTTTCATCTTCACTTCTAAAGCTTCCAACAGGCCATGCTCAATCCTTGTTGAATTTCTTTTGTTATTTCAGCCGTAGAATAATGTGTAACCTCTATTAATGTTCAAAGTTCTCTAATTCTTTTTAGGGAATTGAGATGTATGGCCTGGGAAACTGGGCAGAAGTTGCTGAGCATGTGGGGACAAAGTATAAAGAACAGTGCATTGAGCACTATACGGATGTATATTTGAACTCCCCATTCTTCCCTCTACCGGTATGAGAGTTTGACAAAGTCTGTTCTGAATCAATTGTGACTAATGGTGAAAATGATCGTTTTCTTACAACTTTCCTTTCCCTTTGAAGGACATGTCTCATGTGGTTGGAAAAAATCGAAAGGAGCTCCTTGCAATGGCTAAAGGACATGGTGAGGACAAGAAAGGTTAGTATCAGTCTTGACGGCTGTTCTACTTCTCACTTCTTAGCATATTTTCCAATCAGTTTTTCTTGGAAATCAGATTTTCTTGGAAAGTTTACCTGTTGTTGCTTATGTCTCTGAAGGGGCTCTACTCTTGTCATGCATGTTAGTTTTGATAATACAGTTTCATATTTTCATTTGCTTCTGATTTTGTGAATGTCACAGGATCTTCTGGGCTTGGGAACCATGGTTTGAAGGAAGAGTCTCCATTTTCTCATTCAAGAGTCAAGTATGACAATCATTTCCATCTTTGTAGGCATTATCTTAATTTTTAGCTATAAAACTGATTTATTTTGCTTTTCTTTATCTACAGACTTGAAGATATGCATAAAGGCGGTCCCTCTGGTAGATTACTAGGTGAATGTTGATATTTATTGCTCTTTTTTTAACATTTCTTAAAATAAGCCTTTTATAAAATCCTTCTGCCTTCTTTTCATAAACTTCAGATGTAGAATCTGGGACACGCTCTGGCAATGCAGTGAACAATGTCCATGTTAAAGATGACCCCATTAAAAAGGAAGGTAGATATCCTCCATTTCTCATTCACTTGTTAATATTCGTGAACTGAATGGTTTGCATGTCATTCTTACAATTTAATAATATTTCTGTGATGATTTGCTACTGATTACAGATCAAGCAGACCGGACTTCTAAGGGGAAGAAACCAAGCTCTTCAGGAAATGATGGTCCATCTTTAATGGAGTTGAGTGGTTACAACCCAAAAAGACAGGAGTTTGATCCTGAATATGACAATGATGCAGAGCAATTGCTTGCAGAGATGGAATTTAAAGAAACTGACACAGAGGAGGAGCACGAACTTAAGTTGCGAGTGCTGCGCATCTACTCAAAGAGGTAGACTGGATATTGATTAGCTTCGGGCTTACCTTCAATTCACTGTTTAGTTTCTCCTGAATCATAATTGAAAGAATTCTGGCAGACTGGATGAAAGGAAGCGGAGAAAGGATTTCATACTTGAAAGAAATTTGCTACATCCAAATCCTTTCTACAAGGACCTGTCTCCTGAAGAGATAGCACTTTGTAGGACTTACGATGTCTATATGCGCTTTCATTCAAAGGAAGAGCATGAGGACCTGCTTCAAACTGTGGTTAATGAGCACCGAACTTTAAAAAGAATTCAAGAATTGAAGGTTTGATTGATGTTTAGCACTTCATAGTTTTGCTCTTTCTAAGAAAAGAATTCCTCTTAAATGTATAATTCATATGGTCCGTATTGTCTTCTCATGCATTTTGTAAAACAACAACACAGGAAGCCCGAGCTGCTGGTTGTCGTACATCAACAGAGGCAGACAGATATCTTGAAATGAAAAGGAAACGGGAAGCTGAAGAGTTATCCCGGAGAGCAAAAGATGGTGCCCAGGTTGGTCCAAGCAGTCAGGGAGGTCCTAGTGCATCTACTGGACAGGGTTCATCCAGCAGTGTCAATGATCTGGACATGGGATTCCAGGAAACCCAATTACTGTCTGAATCCGTAAGCATACTAAAACCAACAGCATACTTAGCATTTTATTTTGGAAAAAGTATTGTGTAGTCTGGATTGCACAATACTAACTAGTGGAGCCTCCTCTTAATCTAATGGTTCCTGTTTTACAGTCTGGTGCGGTCCGGACTGTAAAACAGGGTTAGCTTTTATTTTATATTCTGGTTGGCATTATTTGTTGACTATTTGTTTCGATGGCCTCGCAGGACAAGCGCCTGTGCAACGAGGCTAGATTACCTCATCCAGTTTATCTTAAGATGCAACAAGTTATCACGGAGGAGATCTTCAGCGGCAACATCACCAAGAAATCCGACGCTCATCGCTTGTTCAAAAAGATGGACCCGAGCAAGGTTGATAGAGTTTATGATATGCTGGTGAAGAAGGGACTTGCTCCGCCATGAGACTCAATTCCTGTTCTTATTCACAACTGGAAATTACTCTATGTTCTCACCATTTTCCAAAGCAATGAAGATATGCTTTTCCACGGCTATATTCAGGTCTTAAGCTGCGAGTGGATGGCACCCATAATGGTTTTTTATCCATGACAACTAAAATCTATGTGGGAAAACCAGTAGATTGCAGGAATGAAATTTCCTTGGCGCTTCTGTCAGAAGCCTAACAAAATGTCTTTAACAGTTGAATAGGATTCGTATTCCAGGATTCTCAACCATCCATGAAAGCTCCTGCAATTCTCAAATCTCTCAGACCAAAAAAACCTACATCCTTTCATTTCATGAGATAAAAGAAAAACAAAAAGTTATAGCCTTTACAGTAAAACCTATACTGTGAGTAGAAGTGCCTATGGGTACTGCCAAGGTCAATACGGGGAGCAACTGGCACACCCGCATTAAGTTCCAGAGCAGAAACCAATTGATTCCTGTGTGAGAACTAAGCTACTTCTTGACTCATACATAACCTACAAAGTCTAGAAGTCTAAACTTTAAAACTATGTTGCTCATTGCTATTAACCTGTTTCACATGTCCCCTATGGTCCTATACCAACGCTTGTTATCTACAGCAGCCCATGAAGGCACCTTGCTAACTCTGCTAACTATTTCAGAGTGGCTTCTACAGCTTCCCGTGTTCCACAGACTCAAGCTTCTCCAAAATCAACTCACTCTTCGTGCTGGGATCAGCATTCCCATGCTCTTTGTAGTTGTTATCAGCATCACCACCTCCATATTCATTAATTTCATATTCTTCGTTGTTGTGAGGCCTCTTCTTCAAGTTGAATCCATCAATGTCCTTTAGGTCATCAGACGTGACTGACCGAGGTAACTCTTGTTCAACTTCCTTAACAGCTTCAAGTCTAGAGACAGCAATGATATTGGGCTCCAGTGACAGAGTGCCACCACTCCCAGATGTTGACAACTTCATACCGGGATTGAGATTTAGGTCATCAGACGTGGCTGACTGAGGTAACTCTCGTTCAACTTCCTTAACAGCTTCAAGTCTAGAGGCAGCAAGGATATTTGGCTCCAGTGACGGAGTGCTACAATTCCCAGATGCTTCCGCCCTAGCAGAGCTTATCGACAGCTTCATACCAGGGTTGAAATTTGCAGATAAACATGAAAGAATGTCGGGCCTTCCTTTTATGTCAACCCATTTGTTACAAATCCAATCTCTGGAAATCCTGGTATTTTCCCTCTGGATGGTCAGCAACATGGCTTCACCTAATAACAATGTAGTCATCTCATTTACATCACAACCAATGAGCAAAACTAATTAACGGCACATGGTTTGAAGTTTATCAAAATGCAAACCAGTGTTTTAAACTTCAAGGGAAAAGAAGTACTTTAAAAGTTGCTATTGAGCTTACCAGGTAGGTAAACTTGCATATCATCATTATTGGAAACACCGACTCCGGTTACTACACCCTCCCACCAGCCATCACTCCACCAAACATCAATTGGTGCTCCAACCTCAAATTTACACTCTCTTGAGTCCTTGGGAGGACAAGGACGGATAGTCAAGCGGCCTGGAGATCTCATACCCAGTTTATCAGGTGCTGCCACTTTAAAGGCAGGAACACATTCCTACACATTGAAAAGAATTTTCAAAAGACTTTATTTTTTGAGAAAAAAATATTCAGTTCCTAGATAGAGGCAACATTATACAAGTACCCATCCAGAACTGATAAACTGCAAGATGTCACAGGTACCTCTGATACCAGGACATATTTCAAAAAGAAAGGACTGAAGTGAAAATAAAAAAAATTTCAAGAGTTAAAACATTCTTATATGAAGGGAAGTGTGTTTCCCAAAAAAGGAACCTTGGAAAATGATTTTGAAATTTCCTCTTAAAATAATAGCCTAAAGCCGACATTATTATTGTTATTATCAAATATGAGATTTCCCGGAGTATACACTTACCTGTAGTTTGCCAGATCCTTCAGCATCCTCCAGATCATCGTACTGAACTCTCAACTTCTTATGAGATGTCTTCAAGACCTTGCACCTAAACCAGCAACCTCGAATGCCACTATCTTCACAAAGGAGCTCTATTTTCTCATCCACCCTGAAAGCTGGGAAAAATTGAGGTTGTGCCACAATCCCCATTCTTGAGAACCTCAATTTTAATTTTGGATAAGTTGGCTTGCATTTCATAACCTCATTTCCAGGAACTGAATTGCCAACGCCAGAACCACTTTCAAGTCCCTCTTGCCCCTGATCACTTCTATTTCTCTTACCACTTACTGTCACTGTATCAGTAAATACTTCCCTATCATCCTTATTAGATTTATACCACTTGGCTTTTTGCTTGGTGATGAGAGGACCATCGAAAGTATAGAGGATTGCTTGATTACAGTATCCTCGTAATTTAGTAAGAGTGAAGGGCTTCACCTTATTGTTTTTAAACTGCCTAGAGCACATATGGACTCCAGACAATAAAGTGTGGGAGACGACAGTCATACATTTCTCATAATGCATAGGAGTCAAGATTGTTGCCAGTCTATCAATACTCTCTGCACTGATAACTTGAACATGAGGTGTGATAAAAATTTCCCTGGGGTGCGCTTTCAGTTGAGGCATAACATTCTTGACTTCTTGATTGTGGTTAAACCACCGCACTTTAACCTTCTTCTGTCCCTTTTTATCTTCATACATATCTTCCAAGTATCCTACATGGTGGCTCTCTTCTTCAGCAAGTATAAATACAAAGGAATGAACCTGAAAAGAAGGGGAAAATACTTTACAACAAAACACAACACAAGAAGCTGGATAAATTTGTAAGCAAACATCAATATAAACAACCCATATTTTGATTCTTACTGCTATGCTGTCCCCATTTCTTGAAAACGCTGGGTAGTGCTTAAGCTGTTTAGTACAGATCCAAGCAACCCCAGACCACTCAATATTGCATTTGTGAACTTTCAATTTCTTTGGAACCTGGATTTATGATTATTAAGTTAAAATCAGACATCAAGAATGGCAAAAAAATGTAGCAAGGTTGCAAAATCTGTGAACACTATATGCATACCATCTGATCTAGTAAGTGGGGTTGATGAGCAAAAGATTCACTTATTGTTGACACTTCAAGGGATCCAAAGCCTGTTACTGAATCATCCATCTGCATATCTGCTGAAAAGATGTTAGTCTTCATCTTAAAAGTTCCTCTTTAGTTGTTGAATGTAAACTTCATACAACATGCTAAGTTTGTAGCTTTTCATTTATGACTGAAGCATGAGAAACAAAAGAAAAACATCACCAGGAGAAAGGTGATAAGAAAGATTATATTACTTTCATAGAAAATCAACTGTTAGTTTCTTTGAAAAAATGGCGATTCAGATACTATCACATGGTAGAACACTTTCTTAGCAGTCTTGGCAAGTTTCGTAAATGAGTAGTGACTCTCCGACACTCTTTTGAATACTCTCCATTTAATTGGACCACATGGCACATAGCTTATCAATGATTGGTGATGATTTTAAATTTTAAATATGCTAACTTTGACTCCTTCATAAATATATATTAGTACCCCCAAGGAACCAGATTTATTCTGCTTGTTTGACTGAGAGTCAAACCAATATCCAAGTAAATGAGGGTTCTCTATACACATGAAAAGGTGGGATTACCATCTCTACTCATTTCTGAACTATAAGGAATTAACAAAAACTAGGCTGTAAACTACGCAACTGCAGTATCCCATACTAACAATTAAATGAATCAATGATCGTCGTGATATTCATAAGCTTTGACAGATTAACATGGATTCCAAGCTGTTGATAAAAAAAAGTTTTGCAAACTAATGTCAATTGAATTAAGAGACTTCATTGTCTCCATAATTCAGTAAAATTACCATTCGCGATGGGAAAACAGGTGGTGTACTCTTGGGTTAATAAATTCCTGAGAACAGCAAATTAGTGCAAATACTAAATTTGGTTCTAGCAATTTTGGCGTCAAGTACACAGTATCTAACCATTATAATGTCAAACTAATTATTGCCATTCTTCTCATGAACAAGAGTAGAAGTTGTTCTTCTGATTCCACCAAGTTCAATTCGTCATATAAACTCTAAAGTCTTTAGTATACAAAATAAAGGATTTTGGAATTAGGTTTCACTTAAAAATGAAGCCCCATCTGTCCAAGGCAAGTGAAGAATTCCCATCATGGATTAGAATAAAAAAAAAAAAAAACTGGTAAATGATCGATCTCAAGTACAGTAAACAACAAAGACAGAGAGAAATAGAAGAAAAATCACTGGTAAATGATCAATCTCAATCTCAAGGTTAGATAAGTACCTAATTCCTGATAGAAACACCAAAATTCAACTGAAAACTCATAGCAAGCAGATTGCTCTCTCTCACTCACTGTCTGTGCATTTGTCCAAAATGTGGAAAACTTGAGGACGAAAATGATGTATGAAATGATAAAGGATCAGGATGACTGAATGAGTTTGTCCACTGGTACATAAAAGCCAGCCTATTGCCATTAAAACGATGGTATAATATGATTGGGATGTCAACATTTCTGCATAAAACGAAATGGGATTAATTTTCTGCTCTAGGTAGAAAATATCTCCTTAAGGTCCCAGGACGTAGATTCTGACGTTCCAATTTTCATTAGAACTATTTGAGCCGTTAAAGTCAGGTGGTTCAAAATTACATATATATAGTTTTACATGTGATTGTCAGCACAAGGATGATGGTGACACTGACAATTTTGACCAGTCATATTGGGTACCTGGGCCACACACTATCCCTACAGGACCAGGCTCTTGCTGGACTGAGTAGAAATCCTAACCAAAATGGATGAATACACTATAATGAAGGCAGTTTATGAGCCTACAAAAAAATATAAGTCAGAATTCAGATGTTCCACAGAGAAGTGATTGTGTAACTCTTTCCAGATCAAACGGAGAAAAGAATGGAATTCATTTTTATCTTCTTTTTTTTTTTTTTTTTTTTTTTTTTTTTTGATAAAGTGGAAATTTTGACTATTAACAAAAGATCCCAACCCCCACTGAACAGAACTCCACGAGGAAAAATAAAATTATAAAGGAAAAGGAGAGATAGGAATAAAAAGATATGAAAAGGAATATATATCTGAAGAATGGTGTAATGCACATTCAAAGAATTTATTAGTTGGTGTGGCAGCCAAACCAGGCTACCTAGAATAAAATTACATAGTACAGAACATGAAAGTCAATTTAATAATTATAAAAGTACTTAGTTACTCAAGAAACAACCATAAAGAAAGGCCAAGTATGGGACATAATATGACAGATCTTTTGTAACTAAAACATGGATGCTGTATTTGAAACTTGTGGGAGGCATAATTTGCTCTTCAAAATATTAGGGTGCATAAATGACGTGATGAATGTGCCAGTTATACATGTGCCCTCTAATGACTAATAAGAGTGGTTCATTGAGAGAGAGAAAGATCGTTGAAATATGTTCTAACTTAAGTGGATAAAATTATTGAACAAGCATATAAATTGTGATTTAATAAAGTATATCAACAACTCAGAACTGCATATCCACAAATTCCTTATCAAGAAATTGCTACAAATTGCTTAACCATGTAAGGAAACTAAAATTAATATGACCCAAGGAAACTTACAGCAATATTAAATTGTAAGACAAACTCTCGCCTAAGTACTGAAAAAGCTTGCATAAGTTCATACCCCTACATCTATCACATCAACATCCCATATTAATGGCAATTAACAAAAATGCAAATCATGTATTAACTGCCCCAGTAAAATATTAGAGCTAATGCTAAGCCATAGACACTTCTAATTCCAAGGACTGATGTAAAGACAATCACATAATCCAATATATTTTTTTCCCCTCACAAGTGATTTTGCATACATTTACCCAGAAAAACAATTTAGCATACAATTTATACACCTAAACCTATTAGCTTGATTGCTTGTTCTCAGCATACTAAATCTGAAAAATGTTTGAAACCACAAGCTTTCATCAAAATTTTAAATATGCAGCCAAAGAACTGCCATTCCATTCTACCCAAAACATGAAAATTTACAACTCAAAAAGAATGATCTAATATTTGCTGGTGAACGAAGTAAAGAATTTAAGTACCTAAAGACGATCTTGAGATCAATGACTGTAGCCATTCCACAACTTCTCGTCTGGCTCTCCACTTCATGCTCTGGGAGCCATAGGTCTGTGAGAATTCGCCTGTAACGACATACATCATGTGCCTTATGCTCCTCTCAGTACCAATGACTGCAAGCACTAAATGCCCTGCGTCATCCTTCAAGTAGAAGTGAACCACACGGCTACCACGCTCTGGACATATAATGTGCTCCTCCCAACCCACAAAACTACGATTATTTGCAGGCATTTTGATGTTGACAATGCCTTCAAGACTTGAAAAGCACCGCTTTGTCAGATGGGTTCAAACTAGAATAAGCCCCGCAACATGGAAATCTATCCTGCAGACGAGTTTGGGAAACAGCCAAACAAATTCTACCCACTTCAAGAACCCTAAAACGGTAACTGGCTTCCCACTTCCCAGTGAAATCCCCAGGAAGTTGCAGATTAGGAAACACCCACTTTGAGCATCATTAATTCAATAAACACAAAAAGGAAAAGGTCCAAAGTTTTTATGATTTTGAAGGATTCTGTGCCATATTAGGAAAGCAAAGAGTTAAATAAAACCGTAAGAGAAAAGCAAAAGTCAAGGGTTTTATAGAGCCTAA